CAGAGGTCTGATGTCCTACAGCTGGACAACTCTCATACTTCATTATTTCATTGAATTTAAATATACTTAATTGGATCTGAACAGTGGTTGTGTGTTACTTCAGGTGAACAGAGTGTAGACTACTCCAGGTCTCTACTACTGGGTTATTGACAGACAGTGAGCTCAGGGCTGGAGTCATGAGACTTCAATTGGCTGACTGGTTGGTTAGGCTAGCTCATTTAAACCTGACTGTTAAGAGCGTCTGCTAAATTATGTAAATGTAAATGTTAATGGCACAGGCAGGGAGCCCAGCCAACAGCGAGTTGCAGTAATCCCAGACGGGATATGACAAGTGCCTGGATTAGGACCTGTGCCGCTTTCTGTGTAAGGTAGGGTCGTACTCTGTGAATGTTGTAGCTCATGAACCTGCAGGATCGGGTCACCGCTTTGATGTTAGCGGAGAACGACAGGGTGTTGTCCAGGGTCACGCCAAGGTTCTTTGCACTCTGGGAGGAAGACACAATGGAGTTGTCAACCGTGATGGCGAGATCATGGAGCGGGCAGTCCTTCCCCGGGAGGAAGAGCAGCTCCGTCTTGCCGAGGTTCAGCTTGAGGTGGTGATCCGACATCCACACTGATATGTCTACCAGACATGCAGAGATGCGATTCGCCACCTGGTTATCAGAAGGGGGAAAGGAGAAAATGAATTGTGTGTCGTCTGTGTAGCAATGATAGGAGAGACCATGTGAGGACATGACAGAGCCAAGTGACTTGATGTATAGAGAGAAGAGGAGAGGGCCTAGAACAGAGCACTGGGGGACAACCAGTGGTGAGAGCACGTGGTGCTGAGACAGATTCTTGCCACGCCACCTGGTAGGAGCGACCTATCAGGTAGGATGCAATCCAAGAGTGAGCAGTGCCAGAGATGCCCAACTCAGAGAGGGTGGCGAGGAGGATCTGATGGTTCACAGTATCAAAGGCAGCGGATAGGTCTAGAAGGATAAGAGCAGAGGAGAGAGAGTTAGCTTTAGCAGTGCGGAGAGCCTCCGTGACACAGAGAAGAGCAGTCTCAGTTGAATGACCAGTCTTGAAACCTGACTGGTTTGGATCAAGAAGGTCATTCTGAGAGAGATAGCAGGAGAGTTGGCTAGAGACGGCACGCTCAAGAGTTTTGGAGAGAAAAGAAAGAAGGATACTGGTCTGTAGTTGTTGACATCGGAGGGATCGAGTGTAGGTTTTTTGAGGAGGGGTGCAACTCTCGCTCTCTTGAAGACGGAAGGGACATGGCCAGCGGTCAAGGATGAGTTGATGAGCGAGGTGAGGTAAGGGAGAAGGTCTCCGGAAATTGTCTGGAGAAGAGAGGAGGGATAGGGTCAAGCGGGCAGGTTGTTGGGCAGCCGGCCGTTACAAGTCGCAAGATTTCATCTGGCGAAAGAGGGGAGAAAAGAAGTCAAAGCATAGGTAGGGCAGTGTGAGCAGGACCAGCAGTGTCATTTGACGTAATAAATGAGGATCGGATGTCGTCAACCTTCTTTTCAAAATGGTTGATGAAGTCATCCACAGAGAGGGAGGAGGGAAGGGTGGGGAGGAGGAGGATTCAGAAGGGAGGAGAAGGTGGCAAAGAGCTTCCTAGGGTTAGAGGCAGAGGCTTGACATTTAGAGTGGTAGAAAGTGGCTTTAGCAGCGGAAACAGAGGAAGAGAATGTAGAGAGGAGGGAGTGAAAAGATGCCAGGTCCGCAGGGAGTCTAGTTTTCCTCCATTTCCGCTCGGCTGCCTGGAGCCCTCTTCTGTGAGCTCGCAAATCGTCAAGCCACCGAGCAGGAGGGAAGGGACCGATCCGGCCGGGAGGATAGGGGACATAGAGAGTCAAAAAGATGCAGAAAGGGAGGAGAGGAGGTTTGAGGAGACAGAATCAGGAGATCTGAGGGAGAAGGATTTAGCAGAGGGAAGAGATGATAGGATGGAAGAGGAGAGAGTAGCGGGAGAGAGAGAGCGAAGGTTGCGACAGCACATTACCATCTGAGTAGGGGCAGAGTGAGTAGTGTAGTGGTCGGAGACTTGGAGGGGAGTTGCAGTGAGATTAGTAGAAGAACAGCATCTAGTAAAGATGAGGTCAAGCGTATTGCCTGCCTCGTGAATAGGGGGGAACGGTGAGAGGGTGAGGTCAAAAGAGGAAAGGAGTGGAAAGAAGGAGGCGGCAGAGAGAAATGAGTTAAAGGCAGACGTAGGGAGGTTAAAGTCACACAGAACTGTGAGGGGGTGAGCCATCCTCAGGAAAGCAACTTATCAAGGCGTCAAGCTCATTGATGAACTCTCCAAGGTAACCTGGAGGGTGATAAATGACAAGGATGTTAAGCTTGAATGGGCTAGTGACTGTGACAGCATGGAATTCCAATGAGGAGATAGACAGCCTACAGTAAAACACACGTAGGACTCAGAGAGCTGAGGAGAGTCTTAAGCCTTGTATTATCACAAGTATATTATATAAGATCTTTGTGAGAGCCAAATAGTTTCCCATCAGAACAATGACTTCCAATCACATTGTTTTGACCAACCCAATGTGGAATATGAATTGAAGACCGAATGCCCCAAAACTCGTCACACTGCATAGGTTTGAGGGTTTTCTGTTAATAGATGGAAAAAAAACACTTTCCATTTGTCATAGATGGACAATATTGACATAAGGCGAAAGGTGAGTTCGTAACGAGTTCAGGAAGCCAAGCTAGAGCTCAGTGAGACGTTCACAGCGATGGGGGGCGGATGTTTAGATCAAGAGAGACCTTTAGAAAATATGCACATGTTCTAACACTAAACATACAAATATGTATTTTACAGTTATAAGGAAGGTGAAATCCTATAGTTAGTTATGTTATACTTTGATTATACTATATTTAGAAAGCACATAAGTAATTTCAAGCCTTATTCATACAGTTTTGTTGAATAGGAAATACATCATATAAAATATTTCATATTTCCTATTTGTATCATATTTGAACTGTGTACTTGAGCTTGTGTCCTCAAAAATGAATAGACCTCAGCAATGTGTAACTATTTATACCGGAATGGTGAGATTTGAACCTTTCTAGGAGTATGCAGCATTACTAGTTATTGTGTATGGCCCTCATGATAAATATTTACTTTTGGGGATTATGTACACTACCGTTCAAATGTTTGGGGTCACTTAGAAATGTCCTTGTTTTTGAAAGAAAAGCAATTTTTTTGCCCATTAATATAACATCAAATTGATCAGAAGTACAGTGGCAGACATTGTTTAATGTTGTAAATGGCTATTGTAGCTGGAAACGGCTGATTTTTAATGGAATATCTACATAGGCGTACAGAGGCCCTTTATCAGCAACCATCAGTCCTGTTGTTCCAATGGCACGTTGTGTTTGCTAATCCAAGATTATCATTTTAAAAGGCTAATTGATCATTCACTCGTCAATCTATTCTTGTTCTGAGAAATGAAGGCTATTCCATGTGAGAAATTGGCAAGAAACTGAAGATCTCGTACAAAGCTGTGTACTACTCCCTTCACAGAACATCGCAAACTGGCTAACCAGAATAGAAAGAGGAGTGGGAGGCCCCGGTGCACAACTGAGCAAGAGGACAAATACATTAGAGTGTCTAGTTTGAGAAACAGACGCCTCACAGGTCCTCAACTGGCAGCTTCATTAAATAGTAACCCGCAAAACACCAGTCTCAACGTCAACAGTGAAGAGGCGACTCCGGGATGCTGACCTTCTAGGCAGAGTTGCAAAGAAAGATATTTTATTTTTATTGGCCAGTCTAAGACATGGCTTTTTCTTCTTTGGACAGTTTTTTGTATAGAGATCGCATAAATGCATTGTAGCGACATAACACTTAGTGTCTCCTTATGTCACATGGTGAAAACGCCATGGTATCTGGCACATCATCATCTGATCCAGGTAGGAATTTTCTCTGAATGACTGTTAAGTGATGAACAAACAGCTGTTGTGATAGGGCATGCAATGGAATAAAAGCTGGTGTGATAGGGCATGCAATGGAATAACAGCTGGTGTGATAGGGCATGCAATGGAATAACAGCTGTTGTGATAGGGCATGCAATGGAATACAGCTGGTGTGATGGGCATGCAATGGAATAACAGCTTGTGTGATAGGGCATGGAATGGGAAACAGCTGGTGTGATAGGCATGGAATGGAATAAACAGCTGTGTGATAGGGTATGGAATGGAATAACAGCTGGTGTGATAGGGCATGGAATGGAATAACAGCTGGTGTTGATAGGGCATGGAATGGAATAACAGCTGGTGTGATAGGGGATGGAATGCAACAACAGCTGTTGGGATGGGAAGGGCATGGTATGGGGC